AGGAAAGTATTTCACAAAGAAAAGTCATTTTGAGTTTTGGCCTGAAATAAAAAAGTTTTTTGCAGATTGCAGATCACGTATGTGCAAGATAGCAGAGATGATTCCTGACACTGGAGGCTCCGAGGCAAAGATGTCATTAGTGGCAATATGTTTGGGGGTGGGATGGGGTTTGGCTCTAGGTCATACAATATCCCACCATCGTGATTCCAATGTTCAGATCCCAGACAATCTCCTCTACACAGATAAAGGAAGATATCTCTACTGCCATCCTTAACGGTTAGATACATGTAAAATCCTAACAGTTTTATTCCATGCAATACTCTTCCCTTGATAAAAAGGCGAGGTTACATCAGAATACCACAATAGCTCCGACTGTTGTGAATGAAAACCAGATTCAGGATGTATGGTTAGCACTCATAATGACTGATGAGAGTAGCCTTGGGCTTATCGGGTGCATTTTCAATTGCAGTTTTGAACTGATTCTTGAGTGTGAAAGTAAAAAAATGCAGAGAGAAATGTGGGTTTGCACTTCATTGTAATACTACTACCTGCTTTAGCATTTGACACCTCAATGTGGGCACTATTAAGCCTTAGTGTAAGATGAATGTGCAGTGTATAGCAAAAATCACTGCAGGCAGCGAGTCAAAAAGAACCCTTGTTGCATAACCTATTCTTACATAAAGTTTGAGGAGAGGCGGTTTATTGATTCAGCTCCTGTGAATCCCACTGGGTGTCAGAAAAGAGGGAAGATTGTATCTTTCGTTGTAGCAGATTATGAAAATGGGGCCGATTCCATAGTTATGTGGAATGTAAACCGCTACGAGGAAGCTGTTTTTTTCCCCCCTCTTGTTAACCAGAGACCAGTACAACGAGAAAGCGTACTGTAGCTCCAGTTTCACCCAGGAGGATGTTCACAGCTCCTTGTTCTCTGGACTCAACACAACCACAGCTTCAGCACTATTTTACATTCTGCCTGCAGGATGCCTGTCTCCTTTGCTTCCCATCCCTTTATTAATTAACAGAGCTTGATGTGGTATATGAAAGTAGACTGACAGCGTGATGGAAACAAGTGCCAGTGGCTGAGAGTGCCGACTGATCAAGTTTTCCTTCTTTTTTTTTTTTTTTTTAAATTCTTTCCCCCCTCTGTTCTCTCTTCTTCACAATGCTTTCAGTGACTATGAATAATGCACAAGACTGACTTTTTAAATATTCAGACATTTCGCGGCAAGTTATTAACAGAATCAGTTTTTGACAAGAGCGGAACTTAATTAAAAATGTGTTTATTATTTGTGGGGGGAAAAAAACACAACAGAGGCTGCGGTCGCTGGCTTTGAAATGCAAATCCTCACTGAGGCGCCCGTTATGGAACCAGATGAGTAGTTCTCAGGCTGCAACTCTACAAACTGTTTTTGTTTTTTCGTTTTTAAGATGTTTTTTTTTTGAGTGGCCCAGTTTATCCCTTTTGCATAACCAAGACTGCTTAATAGCCCAAGGGGGCTTTTCCTTGTTAATGCCATTGTTTTATAAGTTTATGTCCCCAAAGTTCCAATTTGTAAGTTAATGTTTGGATAACAAATGGAGATCCAGGTTAGTTTCCGCCGTGGTACATCGCTCCGTCCTGACCTTTGAACCTTCAGTCCCACCCCTTTCACCAGGCATTGATCCTGCCGTCAGGACTGCTCACTTTCGTTGCTCTTCAGTAGAAGCACACGAGCCTTAATTACTCCACCAGTCAAACACTTGAAGAGGAAAACAACCTCTAAATAACAGTGACTGCCCTGATGGCTACTCAAGACAGAGGATACATCATCATTAGAATTTCAGGTCACATCCTTTGACCCGGTTGCTCCCCGCCTGCCCCTCTGTAACGCCTCTCTCTCCTCGTACGTCTCTCTCTGTCAGATGTGGTTGAAGCCCATGAAGCGACAGGACGTTCCCCAGAGGATGTGCTACGTGGCGCCTGTCTACAAGACAAGCGAGCGCCGCGGCACTCTGTCCACCACCGGACACTCCACTAACTACGTCATCGCCATGACGCTCAACTCCAACGTTCCTGCTGAGCACTGGATCAGACGAGGGGTCGCACTGCTGTGCCAGCTCAGCTCTTAGTCTCTGGTTTGTTTTACGCCTGCGCTCGTTATATGTTCCAACATTTAATTAAAAAGAATGCCAAAAAAAAAAAAAAATGATAAGCACACACAAAGGCTCTTTGGCCTTTTTTCTTTTTGCTGTAGATGATACTGAGGATTCACAGCTGGCGTTCCACAGTCTGACAGCTCTTACAGCAGCACGGTACAGTAACTCAGCTGCACCTATATTTGGTTTGTAAGTTGATGCGTCTTTAGGTGAGCCTTCTTATTTATTTACGCATCAGCTTCACCAAACCTCCCGATCTGGGAACGCAAACAGGAGACGAGTGAGGAGAGGAGCAGTGGGAGTGTCGCTGATAGAGGTGTTATGCTGTTGTGGTTTTGCAGCTGCACACCAGTCGTCTCTGTAAGATTAGAACAAAAACATCAGGAGTTTGGCTTCTTTTCAAGAGTTTATTTTCCTTCCATAATGGGGAGAATGCACAGACAGGCAGACAGCAAGGATGTCACATTTTGCATTTTATATCCAGATTACTAAACAAATACACATATAACAAAGAAAAAAATGATCATGGGCTGTCTGTGCCCAATAAACACTGAGGAAACTTTTATCTTTGGGGCATAGTGTCTTAAGTGTCATCAGCTCTTACTGAACACTCGACAGGGCAGTTTAGATTTAAATTACACAAGTAATGCAGGATTTCAAAAAAAAAAACTCCTTTTAAACATTCATTATTCATATTGTAAGATACAACTGAATTCATATTTGAAAGAGGGCAAACGATGAGCTTCGTTTGATGTTAGAATACAAATACATTCAGGTTTCGGTGCGCTCGCATGAAAAATGAACCTAAGATGAAATAATAACACGCCTGTAAAAAGATACAGCATACAGATGATGAGCCGCGTGCTCTCACACCAGCGTCACTCGTCTCAAAGGCTCGCACCAGTTACACTACACCCCAAAGAACCTCCCATGATCTTCACACAGTTAATTTAAAAAGTAACAAAGGTCATCAATAGTTTAACTTTGCAGTACAAAGAAAGAAAAAAAAATAAAAATTACACTCAACACAATGTCTGTACCGTTTTACTCATGCTTCATGCATGATTCAGTCAGAACAATGACATGAGTCGACTGACGATGGTTTACAGCCAGTTAAGACACAGACGATGGATGTCACACAGTGACCGGATAAATGAAGGCACACTTTATCTGTGTGCTCTAGCAGCTGAAGCTAGGTTAGGTAGCTTAGCATGTGAGCCGCAGAACAGCCAATGGAATGTTGGGGGGTGGGGGGGCAGGGGGGGGGGGGCAGGAGGAGAGGTGGTGTCAAGCACCAGCCACGGAAAATCAACAGTCAACAGAGTGACTGTCACATACACCCCCAGAAACACGCAGGAATGCTTGTAAAACATATTCACAATAAATAATCTTTGTCCAATCGTTAATCATAATCATCCATTACAAGTGCAGGGAGCTTTAGGCAGCAGAACGTTTATTGCTCTGCTGGGACATTAAGTTTACTGATTTTGCTTTGTCTGTCTCCGATTGTCAAGAAGTGAAATCATTCTTGGACAAAAGTACTAGAAAAAAAAAAATATTAGCAGGAACAAAAATGTGTTATTTCCACAACTACTGACACTATATGGACCTCGTACCAAAAAAAAAAAAGAGATCTGCACTGATACCTGTGACACCTAAACCTCCTACTGTAATTCAACTTCCGTTGCAGGGCGCTCCGATTGGACAAAACACCTTCTAGGAACTCAAAGAGGCACCCTAGTAAATCTAGTAAACTACAACACTTCTGATGACAAATAGAGCTAGTTTATCTGACTTCACATTTTGAAGTTGACAAAGAAAAGTAAAATAAAAAAAAGGTCTAACAAGAATATGTCTCATTTGGCTACAGATCGTCGAACCCGTACCAGAAGAAAAAAAATTGGTCCGACATTTGTGTAGCTACCAAAGACACAAACGAACAAACAAACAAAAAAAACACTGATCACTGTAAATGCTAATTTGTAAAGACTTTGGCAGCTTTGTTAGCAGCAGTCATCACTATTAAGTAAGAAGGTCCCAAAAACTGTAATTAGACAATAAAACACAACTTTGAAGGAATAACTAAAGAAAACTGCAGGAGAGAGAAAAAAAAAGAAGAAGTATCCAGGCCATTTCCCACGTACCATAAGGGGAACGCTTTTCTATTTTGACACTGCAGCTCAGACACCGTCAACGTTCCGCCGGTGAAGCGACACGAGTTAAAGGGTTTGTTCCAGATGTAGCAGCGAGGGTCTCTTTAAGGACACTGTGACGGTGTGCGGTGTGGCTCTAGAGCTGCTCCAGTGGCCGGGGCTTGGCACAGAGGCGTTTCATAAACAGCCTGATGACATCGAAGGGTGGTGATGGATGGCAGGTGGAACACACGCCACAGATGTATGCGGTATGGATGACGGGACACAGCACAGAGTGGATGAGAGGCGAGGAAGGAGGGGGTGGGGGGAGTACGACGACAACACATTAACAACAGGTGATGATGGATAGGCGGCGAGCTGCTGGGCCGTGATAGCTGCCTCTCCGCGGGAACACATACCCCGCACCACCTCGCTATCTACAGCTTTTTTTTTTTCTTTTTTTTTTTTTTTTAAAGGTGGCGTTTCAGAGCAGAGGAGGCGCTTTCTGGTTGGGCCGCAGCTTTTGCTCTTCTGTCATTCAGCCTCTTTTTTTGCTTCCCAGGGAGCAGACAGATTGGAGCTGACACGAGAGAGGTGATGGAGGAGCAGAGTGTAAACATCACTAGCAGAGTCATGAGATATGCATAAGCTACCGCTGCATGTTTGGAATGGAGGCCATGAACGAGACTCACACTGCATGCAAAACTGGGCCGTCACATTGCAAACAAAGCATGTTAAGGCCAAGAAGAACAACACTGATACATCCAGCTCTCCCCCTCCTTCGCGTCCTCTCTCCTCCTCCTCCACTAAAAGCCAAAATCGAAAACAATGCGGTCTTCGAAGATGGCGATGAGCAGCATGATGCCGAACCCGGTCAGCATGCCCAGGTTCTGCAGGATAAAGTGTCCCAGCTGGCAGCGCTTGTGGTCCTCGCTGTCCCCATGAAGCATTTCTGGCAGCTATGAAAGAGACAAAGTAACCAGTTGGGATCAGAGACAGACTTTTTTTTTTTTTGGAATTAGCAATGCAGATCAGGAAGCAGTGAGGAGTGGACCGACTGCCCGTGTGGGAGAGGAGACAGTGAAAGTTAAGCTTGATGCTGTTCAGGGACAATTATCACTTTGGGGCTGTGGAGTGCACCGTGCCAACTTACCATATCCACCAGAGCCACATAAAGGAACATGCCAGCTGTGATGGCGAAGATCCAGCTGGTGACATTGTGCGTGTACTGGCCCACAGCTGTGCCAATCAGCATGCCAACGTAGGCCATGAGGGCGGACAGCAGATTGTAGACAATGGCCTGCTTCACTGACATCCCGGCTTTCAGCAGCACCGCAAAGTCACCTGTCGGCCAGAAGACACACTCATTTAAACAGCATTACGACAACTCCCGAGCTTATTCCAACACACATCCTGCTTCTGAGGTAGGAATGAATCTGTTGTTTTTTTTCCCCACAAGGTGTTTCTGAAAGGTAAAGCTGCCGCAGTGACACCAGGACGTCCAAGTTGTGTTTGCAAACTGACATGCACTCTGCAGCATATAAACTCGTCGGTGAAACGCGTGGCACATGTCACGCTGTGCTTTAGAAACAGTAGATTTCTCCGCTCTATCTCGTCTCTGCCTTCGGTGATGATGTGTACCTGTTCTAAACAAACTCCCTCCACGCGTCGGCTGCCGCTGTGGGTCTCCGCGAAGGTGAAAAACAAGAGCCGCACTTTCTAAGAAATGTATCTTGAACTCCCCTCTGATACACTTTATGATTACATATGCATGCCGTAGCCTCTCTACCCTCTTCAATCATCGCCGGGCCAAATGCGGGGAGAGGCCCAAGTCTCAGCGGAAACGCCCTGGATTTGGAGAGAGAGATGATTACTGAGAAGGGGGGTGGCCTACATTTCCTGCACCGTGTAACAAGCGGCCTCTTTTCCTCGCTAATTACCACAATGAATATATTACCACTCTGCTCTCATCCATCAATCAAGCCCAGTAAAAAGAGGGGAGAAGTTAAAGAGAGATGGTCCGCACACACCTCACTTCAATGGCATGTTTTTTTTTTTTTTTCTCTCCCCGCTCTTCGACTCACTCTGGCGTTTCCTGCCTCCCCGGTTCCAATCCGTCAGACACTCAGACACGCCTGCTGCCGCCTCATATACCGCAATTAACACACCCATCACTGCCAATTAGCTTCACTCTGGGTGGTTAAAGAACCCTCATAATCATCATCTTTTTCCATCCAGCTGCCAGTCAGGGGACGGCTTTTGTGTTCAGGAGGAGCTGAGAGGTGCACTTGTCAAACTGCTGGGTTTGTCTGACAAGCGGCCCGATGGGGGCGAGAGCACGACAGCAAAGTGCTGCTGAAGCACGGGCGCAGAATCAACAGGAAATGTGAAATTACATGGGGACAAAAAGACTTATCTTGCACATCTTCACATGCCCGCTTGAGACGGGACTTGGTGATGCAGTTAGCCATCTGGAAACTCAAGTACGACTGAGTGGAAATAGCAATAATGGGGGGGGGGAGTTGGACGTGAATCAAAGCGGTGCACCGTCTTGTTCTATATGATGCTGATGTCTGGCAAACACAACCAACAACTGCAGAGTTTTTGGCATGGCTAAAAATTACAGAGTTTAAAGCAGCTTTCTGCAGCATTAGTTAAACCCAAATGTGTTTCATCCCCCCACAGTTTCTTATTCTACCCCAAAACACAACAATAAGGGAAGGACAGGACCCTGTTGATCAGCACGAGGGGGAGCAGCCAGACAAACCCGGGCTATTATTCACTGGTTCACCCACTGTGGTAATTGACACTCCTCTATTCATCAAGCACACAAAAGACGCAATGAAACTGCAGCAGGATCAGACACATCATCAGCACTGATCTGCTGTGGATGGGCCCATTGTCTGTGTTTTTCGCCCCTATCTCACCACCTCTTCTCTCACTATAAACAAACAGGCAGAGGAGAGCACTGCAGAGTGGGAAAAAAGTACAACTCTGAACAAAACTGTTCACTGTTGCTGAATCAAACTGAATCAAAAGGGTCCTCAGAGAGGACAGACTGAATGCAAATGAGAGCACCGGCAGCTGCACCGTCTTCCAGTCTGACTGTATTGAACAACGTGCGCCAGGCACAGTACATCATCTCTACTGACAGACAATGACAAGTCATCTCGCTGCTGTCAGACAAAAGCCATTAATTTGGAAAAAAAAGTGCATTTTTCTGGAGTGAAGAGAAGAGTGATGATTATTGACAGTGCTGGGTTTTTAACAAGTTTCGGGGGACAGAGACTCGCTCTGATGAAAGTTTCAGTTCAAGAAGGACAAGAGCTGCTTTGCATGAGTGCAGTGACTTAGCCGCTGATTATCATTATGTGAACCAACTGCAAAGCCGTCACAATGCAGCTTTGTTCAACTTGTTGAATAAATGAAGTGTGCAGTGTCTCTAGTGTGTAATGAATAACTGACTTGTTTTGGGTGTTTGTTTTTTTACTTCTTTAATACTTTCTCTTGATGTACTTACCAAGCTCATGAGGTAATTCGTGGCAGAAAACAGCCACTGATGTACTGATGCCGCCTGTCAGGTTTGCACTGAACGCTGCCCCTGTAAAGACAAGTTCAAAGTGTGAGAAAGAGAAGAGAGAAAGCACGAGTTAGATGAGAGGACAGATACCACTCTCATAGAAAGCAGATACTGGGCTTTTATTCATTTGAGGAAGATAGCCGCATCATTTGCTGTTGGCCACAGGAGTGAACACAAGAGTCTTCATGCACTCCCAGCATGTGAGGACCTGAAGATCCAGTGGATTGCTTTTATTTTGAAGGCAATGTCCCCACAACAACAGGAAAATCCTTATGTTGGTCTAAAGCTGAGGGACATTCACAGATGGTGGAAACTTTAAGACTGATTTGAAACCAATAAACAAGGACTGCTATCAAATAAAGCTGTTCTCATTTACATGTCTTTTGTTGTTAGACAAAGGAACAAGTATGAAACTGTGATTGAAATGCAGCCTATTAGGACTACATGTGAACCAGCAGTCACTTCAGAGCCATTTCCAAGCAGCTGCTTTGCACCGCTAAACTACCACAACGTTGTCTGACACACGAGTTAAAAACAACAGCTGTGCTGTGAATCCGACGACACTTCCATGTTAAATGATTGCTCCAAGAGAAAATGAGAAGCAACAGAACCTCTCACTCCCGCGCTCATTCACATCTGTGTCAGCGGCTGTGCAGTCAGCTGTTTTGCTCTGAGCTGTGAATCACAGATGCAGAGAGAGTCTTTTTCCTGAAGGAGGCGTGAACGGCAGCAGCTCAGCTGTTTTTACAGCTACAGACACTCAAACAGCCCATTTAGCGCCGGGCTAAAGCCAGTAGATATACAGTTATGGCAGAATAAACTATCTATGCAGTATTTTGAGCTGAAAACCAGCAGACATCCTGAAGACCTGTGTGAGTTTCATTTTTGCTTAAAAAGGGCACAATAATGGGACCTTGGTTTGGAACATTGTGCTGGATGTTAACATCCCTCAGACACAAGGACTCATACATTCATGGACTTTAAAGGTTACTTCCTGTTTCCATTTTCACAGGATTGAAATTCTACATTTCTAACACAAAAAAACAACTGAATCCTTTCCATTGGCAAGTTTACACAGAGAATCCAGCATGTTTTTTGTCCTGGTTTATAGACCTACAGATGAGTTACAAACTCTGAACTTGTTACCTATGGCAAGGCCATCACTGAAGTTATGCATGCCGTCTCCCATGATGACCATCCAGGCGATGCTGGCTATACCAGCATCCTTCATCTCCTGGTCTGAGTGGCAGTTCCCTCCATGAGAGTGACCATGTCCGTGCGAGTGTCTGTGCTGCTTGGCTTTGCGACCGTTCTCCTTGGTGGGCGACTGCTGGTCTTGTTGGGGGTTTGTGGGTGCCAGCGGGGTCTTGGTGGTGGGAGAGTCGGGTGTCTGGAGCTCTGAGAGCTGTGTGTCATTGTGACCGTTGTCGCAGGAGACGGCTGAGTTGTCAGGATCTGGATAAGAGAAGTAATGTCACTGTGACAGAAACAGACCAAAAAGCCAGCGTGGGTCACAACTGGCCGTAAAGATTTCATGACTGAACACTTCGTACCGTCACTGAGTGGCTTCAGGTGCAGCCACTCTGCATCTGAGCGACGATTTAACTTGTGATCTGACAACTTCCTGCCGATCTTGCCCTCCTCACTCGCCTTCTTCATGCCCTGTGAGCAACGGAACAACTTTATACTCCATCCACAAGCTTTCACTGCATGTCAGCAATTTCTTACACTTTGTGAACTTAAAACAGTCCAAACTCAAGGAACAAAGCACACAAAATCAAATATTTATGAAAATAATCTTGTAACTGCAGCGTTCAGCCTAATCCATAACCTACAGCTGGGTCATGTTTATCTTACCCTTTGGTCTTTGTAGTGCTTAAACATGCCGATACAGTGTTCGATGATAAAGAGGAGGTAGATGCCAGCCAACGCCGTTAGCCCCTTCCACACACCGTCAAATTCTGTCACCAGATCAGCGTCGTGGCTGCTCCCCGGTTGGCTGTGGTCATGCTGCCCTTGTGACTGCACATAGGAAGAAGAACAGAGGACGACTGAGACACAGATAAGAGTCGAATGCTTTCCTTGAAGCGGAGGAAATTCTCTGACTGTGAGTTGATGAGCAACATAGTTCGCTGGAAACTGGTCAGTGAAAGAGGGACTTGGGAGTCTCAGCATCATTAAAAAGAACTAGGTCATTGCTCATTACTGGCCATCACAAGGTTCCCAAATGACAAATGCGGCACTTCTGTACAAATTATGTAAGGGCTATTTAGTTTTCTTTATTAGTCACAAACTTAACACCAATAAGTGTGAAGTGTGTCAGAATCCTACAAACGTTTTCTTCTGAAGCAGCACAAATGTTGAAGCTGTTAAATGTAGGTCCCGGGTTTCTGGTCCAGAGTCTTCTACTGCTAATCCACATCAGACCTTCAGTGTTAAACTCAGAATTGAAGCACCTGGTTTTACTCAGAAGACGAGAAGTTTCCTGAGTCTTATGAAACCTGGCGTCTCTGGGAGATGTGACTTGGTTCTCCTCATTTAACAAATCTAGGAAGCTCTCTCCTTCTCTTTGACTCTGTTAAATGTTGGAGGCCTTCACACAGCAGCAGCAGGATCAACACGTGTCTCCAGACTGAGAGCTAACACAGGAGGCCCAGCAGCACAATTTCATTCAATGTTTTTATCTTTCTGACGTGTCGTTGTGATCCTACAGTAGCCAAAGTGTTTCTATTTTCACAGCAAACAGGTAGTAAGGTGTCGGTACACATTCACAGCTTCTTCAGTGCAATAATCCAGCACACCGGGGTTGTTGTTGTATTTTTATCTTGAGCAAAATATTGTCGAATTATTATCTGTGTCATGTGGATCATTACAATTTTATCACTTAAACGCAAAGACATCGGGGACATTCTGTAAACGATTAAACCTGCGATGCAAATTTGAGTTTATTTACTATCTGGAGCATCAGAAACCTTTTTTTTTTTTAAATGCTTCCCAGGTTTTTTTTTGCTGCAGCCTAATCTGTCCCCATCGCTATGGATGCCCTGCTCTTCAAAACAATCAGTGCTGCTTTCTAGCTGCTAGTGTGCCCGGGCAGGGATCTCGCCACACGGTTCTACCTGATGGCTTTAATCAGCACTTTGTGAAATCATTTGGCTTGAATGTAACGGATGTTAAATGAAGAGGCCTCAGACAGTCCACCGTGCTCTGCCTGTAGGTTACAGCAGATACTGTCGCTGTCTCAGAGCAGAGATGTGTCAGTGTTTGATTTGTTTTATTTCCTGAACTAGAGATTAAACAAAACAAAAAAAAGCCACTGCAGTGTGTACAGGTACAGGCCTGTACTGTTGAAATGTTGTATTTTTATCCTCTGGGTCCTCACAGTGCAAAACTTTTTTCCCCCTTTCAAATTTATTTAAAATACAGTCTCACCCAAATTTCCACCAAAAAAAAAAGTCGATAAATAGAACAAACGTGAGAACGTCTCTGCTTCTCTCCAGTGGTCTTTCTTCTTTTTAGACAGTTAAATTCTATTTGAAATAGGCCCATCTGTCTCAATGGATGTAAATGGAGAGTAGGTTTCTGGTTCAGCATTAAAAAATAACGTTTACCCAGCAGCAGTATTTCACTCCAGCATAACTGAGTTTGTTCCTCTGAACAACCCATAGAACACCATGTCTACAGCTTCCACTAAAGAAACGGCGCCTATTAACTGGGCGGTCTGTCACTCGTCCCACGATACCTGCCTAAACCTCATTGGACAAGGGCTCCCTCTCCTCGCACAAGGTCTGTTTTTATGACGCCTGTAGTACTCAGGTTATTAACACTGTCACAGTTGGTAATTCAATTTTACAGTTTAGCACTTGAGGTCATAGCGATGGTGTAGGACGGCACTTTATTTTGTTCCCCTACCCTTCGTATATGTAAACAGGGAGGGTAAAAAAATTTAGAAACACTTCCTGAAGTTATTAATTTATGTCAACAAAAACTTTAGATGCATTTGTAATGGGAGGACTTACGCCAGCTTTGTTATGTGGAACTGCAATAGACTGTTTATGTAAACCTGACAAAGTTGCCAATACTGTAGTGTCTAAAGCAGTGGTGTCCAATCCTGCATGTTTTAGATGTTTCCCTCTTCCAACACACCTGATTCAAACGCTCAGGATCGCTATCAGGCTTCTGCAGAGCTTGATGATGAGCTGATCATCTGAATCAGGTGTGTTGGAAGAGGGAAACATCTAAAACATGCAGGATTGGACACCTCTGGTCTAAAGTGACCCAAATTCTTTTTTTGCCCCTATGTGACCTGTATCTGATCTTTTCATGACAGTCTGAACAAAACAGATCTGTTTTTTTTTTCCAATGCGCCTCAGGCCACTTGGATATGTGGTCCTAAATCTGACAGGATCTTTTTCCTCTTCCTGTTTAATCCTCTTCTTAAAACGTTGTAAATGTGCTGGCTACAGTTGGACAACAACTTGAAACTCGCCAGACACGCTCCACAGTTACCACACGTGTTTACTTCCACAAACGCTGAGCTCGCTGTGTGTGACGTCGTCGTGTCCTCTTCTGTACATGCATCACACTTTTGGGTCGTATGACGTTCACACAGGAGATCACATACATTTAATTGGAAATGTGAACGAACTCGCGAAAACAAAACAACTGAGCATTAAGTCCTGCAGTCTGAACGTAGCCTCAGTGTTGGACAGGACAAACCAGCTCCACCATGTAGACCTGAAATCTGTGCAACAGCTGGCCTGTCGGAGGTGTAGAGGAACACAGGACATTATTTACCGTCGGATCCCGACTGATCCCGTGTTGGTGAACTAACGGCAGCTGTGCCACCTGCACACATCGAGTCTTATTTTTAGAGGGACTCGTGGTTCCTGAGGTGGCGTGATGCTGTAGGTACTTATTAAAGTCAAAGAAAAGAATCTGACACTCAGCCAGCTGTGGGCAACAAAGAGGACGTCAGTAGGTGCCGAATTTCATACAGTGACACCTGAAAAACATTACTGTCGGATTCAGACTTTAATCTGAGATGCTTCAGATCTGCCTGAGTCACAATAACAGCCGTATTGTGACAGATCCGGCTGCGTGTTATGTAACGGATAGCTGGGGTTTAGGTAGCGCTGCCTGGACACACACTGGGGACTTGATCCACTCCAGCTGTGTCACCTGAGGGAGGATGTGTGTGATGCTGAAAGACCCACAACAACTTATATGAGAAACATCGCTGGTAAAGTGTCCGGCTGCTTCAAGATGATGCCGAAAGAAGTGTAAACAAACAAAATGAGGCTTTGGAACTCTGTAGTTTTCAGTTTCATTTCTTTTTTCTGTGCAGAATTGTAAAGACTGTGTTCTACACCAGTTGTAGACTTGTAAATGGTTTCCTGCTTCATGCTGGGGTGTTGGTGGGAACATTGTTTTTGCAGGAGACACAACCTCCTCCAAAGATTTACATCAGATGTGTCGGTATAGTGTGGTGTACTCACGTGAGGCAGCAGGTGAAGCAGAGCGTCACCACTGAGCGTGCCCACCGCCAGCGCTACCAGGAAGGTGAGCAGGAACTTAAAGCAGGATTGGTTGAGGATTGGCACGAGTACGACGCCCAGCAGGGACAGCAGGCTGATGATGGTGATGGACACGAAGCCCCACATCCAGACCCACACTGGAGGAGGAAAAACAAAGGTAAGGGAATGGATGAAACAGGAGTGTTAGCGTCAGGAGACCAGTGCTTGTTAGCTGCATGACGCTTTATATGAGTAGTGTGGCTTCCATTAAAAAAAAGACACAAGACTTGCACGGCTGAATCAAATGCTGTCACAATTTTAGCCAGCCAAGACGTCTAGGAAACACCGCGCGCTAACAGTCGCTGCTTTATCATCGTTTGGCTGCCGGCTGAAGGTATTTTTCCCCATCCTGTTCGCATGTGAAGGAAACTATCCTCCAGAGGTTTTCAATCCATGTGTCCTTGTGATGACACATGACGCCTAAAGCAAAAAACATGATGTGACATTTCAGCAGAATTCTGCTCGCCTCATTTTTCATTCAAGGCCGCAGTCATGAGACGTGAAGCACAAGAGAAAAAGTGAGAAAGGTACACTATCATTTAAAGTGTCAGTCCAGCTGTCAGTCCGGGACGCATTTCAAAACAGCACAAGACCGAGTGAGAAAAAGTTTGTGATTCTTTCGTCAAAGATGACAAAATGCTTAATGTAGTATGAAATTCAATGTCACACCAAAGCTGCTGCTGTGTTTGCTAAAGCGACGCCGGCTCCTTCGCTGCCTGACATTCAGCTAAAGGACATCTATTGACTAAAATACTGTGCGCATGTAATGCACATCTTACAGACAATTGACTTCAGCGAGGCGTTTCAGGAGCATGTCTCAGTGCTGCACTCAGCCACTGCTCAGCAAACACTGCACTGGAAGCTACAGCAAAACACACAGATGTACGACTTCTGATTCTACTGGTCAACGTGCGACGAACAATTGAACTCCGATAGAGCTTAATTCATATAAACAAAAGCACCACAGGTGACGCGTAGCCAGAGGGGGATTAAAAAAAACGACTAATAACAGTAAAATTACAGCAGCAGAGACACTTCCTCTCCTCGTCTAATCGGCCCCAGGTGGTGCAGCTTTTGAAGAGATGATCTGAAACATGTCTTGTGCCTGACAGAGTGGTCTTTAGAGAGACTGAATCAAGCTGTTACTGTACCATTACCCAGCTGCAGGATTAAAAAAACATAACAAAAAAAAAACTCTCCCCAGGCAGCAGCCACTCACAAAACAGGAGGCTGGAGTTCCTCCTGGGGGACCGATTCTAACTAAAGAGGAAGGGGCCTGATGCTGGAGTGCTGAATACACAGCCACTTGTCATTAGCTTTTGGGATGCTCGTTTCCCAAACCCTGACACTCGTTGTGATTTTACATGTGTTCTCTGAAGTCTTGACAAAAAACAGGAGGCATTTGTTGTTTCTGATAATGATGTTGGGGAGTACAGTCTAACACGTCGTCAAACAGCATCTGCGCTCGGTTATTCAGGCTTTTCTTTAATTTGTCGAATGTGATGAATTTACTTGTTGACGCTGCTTTTTTTTTAAAAGACAGCAGCTTTGATGGTGCAGTTGAAGTTAGCGTACGGGCCAAAACTGAGCACTCTGAGCTCATAAGGTGCATCATATTTACAAGTATTGACAGCCTCTTTATTTACACTCACTTAACCGGGCGAGATCAAAAGGTGAAAAGCCTCAGAAACCCCTTCGCTTCTGTGCACATCAAACTTGTCGGCTTGATTAATTAAACTTCAGTTTCTGCTGCAAATCAACGGGGAGGTTGGATGCTATGGAAACAGTTCACGTCGCCTCATGAAAACTCACGGATCAATTAAAGCTTCTTTCTCTGCGAGCACCTTCTCTCTCTGTTTACTTTTTAAACCAAGGCCAACTCTCGTGATGAAGCACCCCGATGCGATTGAAACTGGTCAGATAAAACGTGTAGCTAATTAAAAATCGTAATGTATTTGTTGATGACTACCAGGATCACGGTTAGATCACAGTTTACGAATTCATAGATTAGAACTATTTTTGTTCTGATGATTAGTTTTCAAGTGTAACTAAATGAAAATGTCAACTTTCTCCTGAGTTCTGTAAGAAACCTGTAAGCGTCATGCTATGTTTTTTTTAACATCACCAATGCACTGCAGATTCCAGGTGGAAATGTTCAGCCGTTATGCTGACTGCTTATTCCGTTCATGACTTGTCTTCCAGCATATGAAAAAAAAACCACAATATGGACACACTAACACTGTAAAATAACAGATTTTCACCAGAGGCCAGCTTACAAAACAAATAAATGCAACATTAAATGTGAAAAACCGAAGAGCGAATGGTGGTATTAAACTGCAGATGGTTGTGGATCATTGCAACGACTTTAAAAAGAACTGAAGCCACAACAGGCTCTTCAGAGTGTTTTTAAAAAACTTCAAGACAAAGAGTCCTCCTCTGCTCCTGGCCATACAGTACACTTGAGCTTTTTTTTTCTTCCCTTTTTTGTATTTGACACTCAGCGTGACCCTGACAATACCTCTGAGGGGGAAAAAAACCGCTGTGTGTGTGTTTAAAGGGGACGGAAACAGCAGCTGATCGCTATTATAATGAATGACAACGCCGTGCTGCTCCGCTCACCCGGCTTCCACGTGCACGGCAGGTGAATCAGCCGACAAAAATACCAACGCGTACTCAACTGTGATCGCACAATAGAGTCATCGGTCTATATTTAATATCTGTTGGCAAGTGTTTTCGTGCATCTCTTTGGTGCGTTGCCGCTAACACTCTTAGCATTTTGTTCAATCGCAACATACACAGACTTTGTGTTGATTAGAAAAGTCAAGAGTGCTGATTTCTGTCTTTGAAGAGGCTTTAAAGGGACAAGTGACAGTCCAGTTTTTTGACTGAGTGTAAAGGTTAAATATTTTAAGCCACGTGTCTCGGTAAGAACAATGAGCCGGCCTGTCTTCATGTGAACCTTGTACTCTTCTTTTTTTTGAGGCTCTGCCCATTTCTCAAAAAAAAAACAACTCTTATGTTAAGCAGCAGACTGTTTGGAAAGCTCCAGTTTACTGAATGTCCACATTATGAGGAGAGACTCATCATCAGGGCTGAATTCACTTCCTCGTCGTTGTGTCTTTTAAGAAGCCTTCCCTTTTTCGTTTAGCTACCTCCGTTTTCAAAGTGCCTTACAAAAGTAAAGGTTTTACAGCCGACTGCTTTCTTATTTGTCGCCACCAGGCGGAACACGGCGTAAGCCTGAGAGGAAGCTGTATATCAGTCAAGACAGTCCATCAGCGCACCACTGCAGGTCCTTCACAGTCACGCAGCTCATCTACTTCTCTATCTCATTACCTTTATGCAGTCGTGGCTTTGTGTGTGTGTATGTAGATGTGGAGGTAGGCAGGGAGGGGGTTGCAGCAGGGCGATTGAAGCCGGTGATGAGGGAACAGAAGAGAGGAGAAGGAGACCAACTGGCCTGTGTCTTCTCTCCAATTACACATCTCCTGTGAGCCATGGCTCAGAAAAATGGCCCAGGGTGTTGCTCAGGCTCTCTTAATTGGCACAGCGCAAAAAGAGAGAGAGGGGTGGGGGACCAGAAAGAAATGAACTGCGAATTTTCCGAGTTCCCCCCATGGACGCGAGCGGGAGGTAAATGAGAGGTAGCTCTGCAGCGTGTGGCGATGTCTACGGTTGGGTCTTGGTGCATCTTTTTTTTTTTTTTCAAATCTAGCGCCTCTAGTTTTTGCACTAATGAGGCGCCATTCCTGCCCTTTTGCCTTGTTTGCGCCGTCTTCCTCGCCGCCGTCATTACCGTTTTATGACCGTTTGCGGCGATGGCACGCTGCAGCCTCAGGCACATGTGATGCAGGTTTCTCCAGAGGGGAGTGTGTGTGTTTAATAATTAAAGATTGAAGAGGGCGTACATTTAGGGAATTCTTCCAGCCGCACAATTGAACTTAAGTGCCTGCTGCTTGTGCTGCTACACATTACGTGCACAGCTGTAAGGTGTGAGTCTTTTTTGCAGCTAAAAAAATAAAATAAAAGCATTACTCGATATTTAGAGTAAAAAAATAAATCCTAGTTTTTGCAGAAGTTACTACGTTGTGTGCAGGTGTAGCTCCCTAACTTCTATCTCGCACAACATAAATTAAAACTAAAACACTGCAGGCATGATACAGAACATAAACAGGTATGAATGCAACATGACCACACAGGTTCACGATACATCTCAAGCTGTGTTATCTATAGTGAAAGATTTCCATGCTCATCCCACTTATACACAAAACCTAATGTAGCACAAAACACAAAGCCCCTCAGACTTGCAGCATGTGCTACGGTTTGCATTTTTGCGCGCAGAAAAGTGAGATTACTGGTCCTGCTTTGGTTTGTATTGAAGCTTTTATGGCTTTATGAGTTTTCCTGCCATGCCCTGTAACTCATTAACCCTAAAACAAGTGTGAGTGTAGAATTTGCATTCTCATAAACCTAGAAACAGTGCGAGGTCCCCGAGCAGGACTTAACACTGACCTTCGTGCTTTATAGCTCCTCTTTCAGTCTCTTTCATTTCAGCTTTTTTTTTCCTCTCCCTCTTTTTTTTGAATATTACTGTTTCAGGGATGTGATCAGAATGCTAACGGAGACGACAAGAGCTCACTGAAGGAAAGTTTTAACAGAGTCGGAAGGACACAAACATGTTCTTTTTGCGATTTCAAAAAAAAAATGGTCAGCACATGATGGGATCGCTCTTTCACTGCCATGGCAACTAACATAATTTAATAACAAGGGCACAAACACAAAGCTTCAAAAATAAATCACGAGCGATTACATGAAGAGACGATCCTGAGCGTTTAGCACATGATGTACGGTTTTAACGACGGCGGCGCGTGACCCGGCAAACCGACAGCTTTGTCATTCCAGCTGCACTTTTCTGAACACGAGTTTTGCTTCGGAAACTTTCTGGGTACCTGAGCGTCGCATCCACATCAGTTTTCACACCTATCAGCTCTCCTAATACGTCTGCTGTCCATCAACTGGCGCTGATGGCCATTAGTCATGCGTATGCTCACTGGGACTGGTGATTGACTGAAAGAATCAATTAACTAATAATTATGTTAAACGCTCGCTGCATCAAGCGTCACATGTAAATGAATCAAGATGCTTTCACCAACAGAGCCATGCTTGTTTTTTTATCCACACCTCAAAGGCCATTTAACTACAATTTACCTAAAGTGATAATGTGAAACAGGATTTCCTTTTTTGAAAAAAAACGAACTGCATGCCATGTGATTTTGCGAAACTTCTGAGCACGAATAAAGGTTACACATGCGCGAGTGGACTGAGATAGTTTCGTGGAAGTGTGATTGTGTTATCAAGATCAAAGAGCACCGTTTACAGCAAACGGGGAGGAAAAAAAAAAAGGCCCGCTTGTGATATGATAACAGTTCAGTGTTGTGTGACTGTTAAACAGCCATGCCTGTGCTACACCTGTGACACCGTGGAGGCTTAAACAAACAATGCTCCAACTAGAACTTCTCCCATTCTACAGTCTTACATTCGTTTGCTCTTCTTTTATCTGTAAATAAAAGTTAATTAAGCGCCGGCGTTGTAGAAATACAAGAAACACGGGATAAGTTCGCAGCAGCCTATTCATCGGGTGAGACGTGGGACAGCTTTAGATGTGCTCTCAAATTAAACAAGCTTGTGCTGACTTTCAATATCCTGTTTTCCAGACTAATGTCAGTGCTCATGGCCCTCTTGTGAGCGCTCACTCCGCAGTTCTGGATGGCACAAATGAGAAGAAAAGCGATCCTCACCCGCAGAGGGACTGCCCTATCAGTGAACTGAAAATGAGAACGGATGAAGGCAACAATAGTGGCCGTACCCAGGGGACGGTGGTTATAATTCCTGGTTGGCTTCAGTTCTTATTAGTGTAAAATACAGCTTGATTATTCCAAGTAAACACTCTATTATGCGGGCTCGCCACTCTTCCCCCAAGAGAGGAGCTCCAGGTTATACGTCCTGATATCATCATCACGTTTACAAACCCTTTATGGTGGCGTCCCAGTGGTTCCCCACTTATGAAGATTTTCCTTCTGGCTGATGGCACCAGATAAAGACCATAACAGTTGGCCACAAATCCCTATCACTTTACTATAAGATACCCCATTATTTCAATTTAATTTTAATTACATTCTGTGTTTCAATAATCTTATGTTCTCAGTGATTTTTTGTCCTGTTTTTTTAAAACCTATCTTCTGCCATTTAGGTTTTAGAGATAAAGGTGTGGTCTGAGGTACGCTCACGGAGATGATGCTATCACTGGCCAATTAAGGTTTTCTCATACAACAGATCAAACGCGCTGAGTGGACTGTAAGTAAAATGTGGTGATATGCCAACGAGTTAAAAGGCACTGATGGTTGTTATCTTTTGCAGAAAACTGGTTCGGTCAAGAGGCTCTCAATGCACACTGGGAAAACCTTACACCCCATAGTAAGGATAAGCACATGCTTTCCAATGACTAAACAAGAACGACTACCCGGCAGGCAAACAGTCTCTTTACCTTTACATGTTGGGTGATCCTATATCTCAAGTATTCCTGACTGACTCTACGTGGTTGACACAATTAAAAAAACTGAACTTCGCTGCCTTCTCCATTACCAGATCAACGGGATATTTAGCTCTTACCGGAGCTAACGGGCTCCAAGGCTTCCTGCTCCACGTCCATCTGGTGGTAATGGCGGATGCAGACGCGGCTGTCTATCTGGTAGAGCAAGGCAGGACACAGATAGGTGAACTGGCTCGGGGAGATGAGCGCGTCGGGATTCAGGCCGTAGTAGGTGAGGAGCTGGGTGAGGTTCAAACACTGAAAGCAGAAGGATGTAGTACAAAAGCAAACATTAGGGGGACAAAACCTCTGACCGTATAAGAACATCAGAACTATTAGGCTGTGATCTGCCACGAAAGAAAGAACACTCAGCTCCTGTAAAGTGGAAAAGTGTCAGCTAGTCATCAGACTGACTAGAACATATAGATGGGGGAAGGGAAATCTGAACGCTTTTCAACACTGGAATTAATTTGTCTATCTTTCAAATTTAAAAAAAAAGTTTTCTTCTTGGAAAGCTACACTGTAACCCATCAGAGAATGAGTGTTGTAGTTAAGACAGGTTTTGTGGCAGGGAGGTACAGACTAATAAAATATCCAAGACTAATGCTCTACACTATACATCTGACTTACATTTGACCTGAACTGGCCAGAAGTATTACCAGGTAGCTAGGACAAGGAACCACGGAGCTATTGCTTTGTTTATAGAAACGAGACAAACAAGTTCTTGAATTGCCCTGAAACCTAACAAAACTCCTACCTCCTCATGCTGATGCGACAGTCCCCCTGGATGTCCAGGCAGCGCGGGGGCCGGCAAAGTGGGTGCAGCAGGTTCTCCTGGTGCTTCTCTCTTATCTTTATTAGAATGCGGATGGTCATGTTTGTGATTAGAATCATGTCCATCTTCATGTCCATGGTCATGTCCATGGTCATGGTCGTGGTCATGGTCGTGTCCATGGTCGTGGTCATGGTCGTGTCCATGGTCGTGTCCAGGCTCGTGTCCATGGTCGTGTCCATGGTCATGACCATGGTCGTGTCCATGGTCGTGTCCATGGTCGTGCCCATGGTCGTGTCCATGGTCGTGTCCATGGTCGTGTCCATGGTCGTGCCCATGGTCGTGTCCATGGTCGTGTCCATGGTCGTGTCCATGGTCGTGTCCATTAGATGGAGGTGTGACAGAAGGAGAAGGTTTGTTTCGACCTCGCTGTCCTCTGCCCCTTGTTGTCTTCCTGGGCCTCTTGGGGCGGCTTTGTGTCGGGGCGGGAGAGGACCGCAGCTCCTGAGGTACTTGGGACGGCTCCAGATGAGCAGAGGGCAGCTGCTCCTGGTCGACAGGAGCGCTGTCTGTGCCGGCGTGCGCTTCATGAGTATGATTGTGGTCGTGTCCATGATCCCCACTGCTGTGATCGCTGTGGTCGTGGACATGTGTATCCTGCACATGTCCTTCAGAATGTTTATGTTGGCTATCCTCTACCTTAGCGTGGTCGTGGTCATGGTCGTGATCGTGTTTTGTGGGAGCACCAGCAGCCGGACTGGCAACAGTAGTCTGGCTGCACTTTGTGGGAGCTCGTTCTGTGTGTGAGTGGTGGGAGCCTGGCCTGTGGTGAGAATGACCGTGGCCGTGCCGGTGGCCATGGTTGGGGTCTTCACTGGTGGATGAATGTGAATGCAGCCCCTCCTGCACATCCAGCAGGTCGAGGTGGGCTACGTGGTCGTGACCCAGATCCTCATGATCAACACTTACCACCTTTACTTCTCCCAAACCCAAGCTCATCAGCAGACTCTGAAATCCCTGGAAATCTAAGCGGTCCTTCTGGCCGTAGCGCCTGAACAACTGCTGGATATAAAAGCGCTGCTCCTCCTCTAGGCTGTCCCCTTGAGGACTATCGGACGCCGGGGACACCGTGGTACCTCTCACGTATGGAGCCTCAGAAATCTGCAGGTCGCTGTGTGCGTTTGTGTGGTCATCATGGTGATGTCCACCACCGTGGCTATGGCCATGGCCATGTCCGTCTCCATGGCAGTGGTTGCACTGATGGAAGAGGAAGGTGAGCACACATAGGAAACAGAACTTCGTGTGCACGTGGACTCGCATTGTCCCCTAACTTCTGGTCCCCTGCAGAAAGAAGACAACAACAGCTTTAGAATTTGTACCACTTTTCTTTTGTCTTGGTGAGAATGAACAGGGATTTTCAAACACTTGTGTGCACTGTTAGAGTCTAATTTTACTACATATACTGAACAAAAACATGAACGCCCCATGTCAAATATAAGAGTTTTATGAGCATTTGGGTTACGCAATATATAGAGAAACTCAAAATATATTTTCAGTAATTACTGATCTTCATATCGGCATTGATAACATCGTGGTATGGCCATTTGTAGTGGATTGACAGTCCTTTAAACATGTTCAGGTTGAGGAATTTAATTTTTCAGCATCTTGTGTGTCCGCCAGCTGCATCTCTCAGAGCAACACATCTTCTTCGCATGGAGTTGATCAGACTGTCTATGGTGGCCTGAGGAATGTTATTCCATTCCTCCTGGAGTGCCACATGGAGCTGACCCACATTGCCTGGAACTGGAACACGGTCCCGGACACGCCTATCCAGAACATCCCAAAGATGCTCTGTCTGGTGAATATGCAGGCCAGTCCAGAACTTCAGTGTCCTCTGTTTGAAGGAATTCCATGCAGATGCAGGCAACATGAGGTCGGGCATCGTCATGTTGAAAGGTGATGTCATGCTAGCGCACAAACGGCACAACAATTGGTGTGAGAATCTCGTCCTGATATCTTTGTGCATTAAGGTTCCCTTCAATGAAGTGCAATGGTGTTCTATGCCCGTATGTGATGCCTGACCACACCATAATGACACCACCTCCATGGGCAACCCTGGGCATAACACTTGCATCTGCAAACCGTTCACCCACGCGTCGCCAGACATGCTATCTTCCATCTGCACGATACAACTGGAACCTGGATTCATCCGTGAACATCACTCTTCTCCAGCGTGCCAAGGGCCATCGGACATGTGCATTCGCCCATGCGAGCTGGTTCCTACACCGGACAGCAGTGAGATCTAGAACGAGCCGAGCATGCAAGTTGGCTTCTCGTAGGCGGTTACGGACAGTCTGAGGTGTGATGTGTCTGTTGTGCAGACCAATAGTCTCATCAGCCGTGTGTGTCGCTGGTCTTAGCCGATCCCGCAGATGGACGAGCCGGATGTGGCGATCTTGTGCTGGAGTGGTCACACGTGGCCGACGAGGATGAGGTCGATTTGCAGTAGTGCCAGTCTGTTGGAAACAAACTCTTAAACGGCCTATGGTCCGATAACAGACGTTGAGCCGTGCAGCGACTGCTCTGATGGACATCTGATCACCCACTGGACATGCCCCACCCATGTACTGAGTAAAGAAACAACTCACTGAGTAATGCTCACTGTCAGCAAGTTGGATTAAAAATTATACACAAATCAAGAGAAATACAACTTTTGTACAATAAAATGTCAGCAAATGCTCATTTACAGTTGTTAACTCCACATGGCAACAATATTTGACATGGGGCGTTTATATTTTTGTTCAGTGTATAACAGATAAATAAGGAAAACAACTTAAACAACATCAGTCAGGCTGTTTTTCCTGGTGGGTTCGAGTTTCTGAATATCGTTTCACAGACTCCATACGATGTGTTGTTACAGCATGTGGGGTTCGACAATCTGAGAATTCTAAAGTAGTGAGTAGTGGCAGGCGTTTGGATTATTGTTGTCCAGTAGGCTGGCAGACTGACAATTTCTGGAGCTACAACAAATAATTTTAAACTTCGTAAAATAAACGGAAGAAGGAGCTTCTTCATGTCGCTATCCGTGGGTTGTAAAAGCATCGTCAATGTTTGTGTAATTTTGTCATTTGCATAAAGGTTTTTAAACTGTTTTGCAAGGAGAGTGCCTTTTAGTTTCTTGAATTATTATTAATTTTTGAAACAAAAGAATTTTTTTTTTCTTTTGGCTGAACAATAAAGCGTAATTTTAAATTTAAAGAACTTAAACGTCTATGTCATCATCTGAATGCTCACTTTATTTAAGATTGAGCTTAAATATTGCAATATTCACTCATATGTTAATATAGGAAATGTGGAAATTGTTAAATAAAATGAAAATATCACACAATGTGTTATGTTTTCACTGACCTTCATAACAATATATCTCTCTTTCTGTCAAACTAAACTCAGCTAACTTTGTTTTTTTTGTTTGCTTTTTTTCCCCGAGTGGCTGAGTTGTGCAACAGAATCACAATGATTAAATCATACAGTAACTGAAAAGTAACAGCAAATTATGGTCCGGTTAAATATAAAAAAAAAAACACAAACTCTCTGGAGTCCACACTCACGATGGATGTCACCTTGACTCATATGGGGAACCCTGTATACAAATAACCTACAATAATTATCACCATGACTAGGAACTACTCATATCAGAGTGATAAACAGTCCTGATTAAATCAGCGATCAATACTGAGCCGACTGAATCAGATCAGGCCACGTCAATAATTCACTGACACACATGCAGGTTATGTAGAATTTTGAAGAAACCAACTGATTTGGATAATAACCCTGCGAGTCACGGATAAACACAACGTTCAAAGCTGCTACCTTTAGCTTAGAATAACAGATCTAATAACTGAATCAGAGAGCCTTCTGGAGCACAATAAACTCTACTGAGAATTGTGTAACAAATTGCTTGTTTCCCCCCCCCTACTTTAAAAAGCCTGAAGCAGCAATATCATTCCAGTCAAATGATCCTCATAAGGTCTCTTGTGAAGCCCGTGGGTGGCTGATGCATGAGGGGTGGGGTGGGGGGTGGTGGAGAGGAGTAAAGAGGGTCAGAGGAGGAACAGTGCTGGAAAATGGCAAGATGACACACAGCAGACGAACGCATGTACGCACACACACACAGACGGACACACATGCCTTTGGCAGCCAGCTTGTTAGTAAAGTTTATACTGGATTTACAGCATGCACATCATAAGGGAATAGATTTGTGTTGTGCAGGCCACAGATACTGCTACAAAACAAAGAGGGTGATAGATCCTCCTCACAGCTGTCAAGGCTAGAAAGAACAGATTGCAAACTGTAGGCTTATGTGAGCAGCAAAAACAACAAAAAAACAATATGACTACAGCGATTTCTTTCTGGATACCCCTAAAAAAAATTCAAAACAAAAACCCAGAGGAAAGGGCACAAAAGATGACTCACTTAAAAGTAGCTTTACTTTAAAGCTTTAAAGTTGTTTTTTTTGGTTAAGTGTGGGGAAAAAAAACAGCAAACAAATCTACCAATCTTCACTGATCTATTCAACTAAAACTTTCAACTTATCCGACAATATGGAAGAATTTATTGTCTTGGCGGAAAAGTTTGTTCGCACACAAGATGCACAGAATATACCTACACGTATGTATTTAACACAGAGCAGATGATAACTTATTCCAGCCACTGAGTCCTTGTGAATGAATATGAACACAGTATTTCTATCTACCCGGCTTCTACACAGAGGAAACACTGAGATAAGATTCATCAGAGGAGAAAAAAAAACAAAAAACAAAGCCTCAGTTTATTCATCAAAGGTTGATCACTGTCCCGACGACATCAATAGCTAATCAGCTGATGACTATTAGCTCATAATAGAGTTCCCTCTGCCCATATAACAAGATCAAAAGCTTGTGTACAAGCAGAGAGTCTCATCAGTAGCTCAGTAATGTAATGCCGGGTTATACAATGGGCACTTTTTTTTTTTTAATTCAAAAAGATTACGGATATTTCTGCACAAATCACAGGAAAACAAATGCCGAGGAGCCCCGCTAGCAACGTGTTCACACTTAAACAACATCTTCGAAAATGCCTTAAACACAGCAAAGAGACTTCAACTGCATTAAAAGCAAAACACTTGACACTGACTTCATTCTCGTTTAAAACCAGAAGCTAGAAGCATGTCTACTTACCACTGCTCTTGAATGAGTGGTGTGTCAAATTAGATTTGGCCAAGAAGTGAATGATAGCGCTCTGACTCAAAGCTGTGGACGTGAAGTGTGGTTACAAGCCTACTTCAACGCTGCCGACAAGACAGTGTTTATTAACATGAGACAGCAGTGACCTATGAACCTCACAGCAGATAGGTTGGGGCAAAACCAGGACCTATTTTTAAGAGCACACCCTCCAAGCAGCAACAGAGCCTGCAGTGTTTTCTAATCACAGTCTTTGTTGTGCTTGCTCTTTAATGAAAACAAAGGAATCTCTTATTTAACTGGAGAGTTTTATTGTGTGTTACACAAGCTAATGTAAAAAGTAAGCATAAGAAATTCATTTTAAGGGAGTTTTTTTTCTTTCCCTTTTTTTTTCCTCTGAATTGAAACTGAGTGTGAACCTAGTTTGCACACAAGACAATATTCTAATACATGAAAACAACTGATCTCACTGTAGTTGCCAAGAGATTTAATCACAAGCACAAGGCAAGCAAATAATCCCATCATGACACATTAACTTGATCACTTACCAAAACGTTTCCTCCTGCGTGGCCCCCAGTCCTGGTTCAGCTCTTTACGGGACTTCTAACAAACTCTTCTGAAACTTGTACTCTGGAAAAAATAATGAAGTGGAAGTGAAAAAAAGTGGTTGTGAGAACCAGAAATCAGGTTGTCAAGAGGTCAGTAATGTAACCAGTGTGTTATCACAGCAGGTTGTGGACTTTCCTGTACTTAAGTGTCCTGAACAATCAATTCTGAAAAGAGGAGTCAATGTAAATGACGCAGCAACGTGTGAAACACTCGAGGGCTGTACTACAAAGTGAGATAGTGGGTTTGTGAGGTATGTTTAAGGTTTTCAGTGTCAGGAAGGAGGCTCTCTTTTCACCTGATGGTCTGGAGCAGGTTACGTTCAGAGTTTCTGATTTGAATTGGCTGGAAAGAGAGTCTCCCTTGAACCAAACCGTTTACTGACTATTATACAGTCATAAGTATTTATTTCGCAATGCAGAAATCACACAAATATGTTTTTATGTTTGGCTCTGATTTGCTGTCAAGTCCGTTTACACTGCCGCGAAAATGGATTACTCTACTGGTATTTATCACAGAGAATATTCAATCAATAACACTGATTTGGCTTTGATTTGGCCAAAAACTAAAGTGATTTCCTGCATTGTGGGACAGTGTCGGACCTAGATGCACTTCTATACAACATTTTGTTTACATATGTTAAGTTTAACTATCAGTTGGGAATAAGCGACTGCATCTGTAAAACATTACATATTAACATGTTCGACAGTTTTCTACCTGCACTCCTGTGTTGCAAAAGCGACGCTTTTTACCGTCACGCATTTTTATATTCCTCATTGTTCTCCATAACAACAACTGAAGCAGCTGCACACGATCGTTTCGCTTAGTGCAGAAGAAGAGTCACGTGACGCGTTAAAACGCCTCCTTTTCATGTCAACGCGTGCAGAGTCTGAAGCAGAAAGTCTGAGCTGAAAGAGAAAGTTCAGTGATCTCTGACTGGGGCTTCAGTTTGTGTCGAGCTGGCTTACACAAAGAAAGCCTGGCTATGTCAAACTTGCTTCGTAGTACAGCTCTGACGCTCACTAAAAGCTAGAAAGCATGACGATGACTCCGTACCAGCATGCGAGGATTCTGTATGAGCAGCTAGCGAAGTCATATTACAGGGAAAACAAGTTGTATTGATGTTACAGGTGTGATGCCACAGTAGGGCTGCATATCAAGAGTGTCATTTGAGACAACATACAATTTAATATTGGAATATATAAGGCGTGGCTGCTAAAGAATAGGACAAATGTTGAAACTCATCCATTGATCACTGTATATACAGACAGTGTTTTTAAAATCCACACCTACAGCATTTCACAGTGCTTCTGAACCAGGGTTTGAACTGTTACTGGCTTTACACATTCCTGCCTTCCTTCATCACATGTAATAATGCTGCAGAACATTTTAAAGGTATCAAACGGTGAATTCTAAATTTGAAAAAAGATATCCTAAATCAACTCGCAATTAGCTATTTTCCACAAATCATTCAGCCCTATGTCAGATCTGGCAACATGCTGGAAACCGCAACACTACAAAACAACAGTGAAAGTGTGCAACAACAAACAAGGGGAGAAAAAAAAACGTTCTCGTCAATCCCATATACTTGCACAATATCATTGCGTTCTACTGGAAGTGGATTCACTCACAGCAAGACTTGATAAAACTTGAGAAACCGTACGTTAGGGTTCGTTTCCCCTGCAAACAAAATGTCAGAGTGAATCAGGGAATACGTGGCTCAGTGTGTCAACGAATGGCTGTTTTGACAAAGTATTCAAATAACTCTAAAAAGATAAGGGTGGAAAAAAAAAACAAACATCCAGTACACACAAACCAGTGTGAGCATTTGCACAAAAAGAATGGAGGAATCTTATCAGGTCAGTCTACTATCAGCTGATCTAAAAGTCCCCGGGTTATTTTTTTGCAAGCTACAACTGTTACATGACCATGAATGTGCTGTGTCATTGTTAATTTGACAAACTGTACCGCTGGAAAACCGAACTGTAAACAACTTCAAAACAAATGATTTGACATTTCTGGAACTTGTCCTACATGGGAATGGGTATCGTTGGGATTTTAACGATACGACTACTTTTACTGATGCTACTTATCGGCCCAGTATGTTAACAGTATTCTTATTGCAAATTTTTAACTTGTTTTTGTTTTAAGAACAGAATAAAAATTGATTTATTTTCTCATAAATACTGTATAGAAATCCAAATTAATGTAAATGCTGTGTTGTGTTGACTGTGGACAGTGTCACGGGTTGTACTCGTCAAAAATAAGGGTTCATTGTGTTTCATTAAACTCCAGCATCGTACCAGAATTAAAAGCTCCACTGTGAACAGATATTAAGTAAATGTCAGTACACTGGCCTGATAAGACATATGTCACTCTTCACTTTTGAAGATAAAATGAATGCAGGACTTTGACAGTATGATTTTAATAGTTCAGTGAAGAAAACAGTTCTACCACTAACACCAACATTCAGTTAGAGAAAAACTAAGCTGTTAAATCACTAAATCCTGCTGCTCTGGGCTCCAAAAGTTAAACTGAAACTCTGATCAGTTTACATAATGCTCCGAATAACAGACTGAAATCACAGTTTAACAAATGGCTGAAAATCAGTAACTTTGAGGTGAGTGACAGAGCTGCTCGGACCCCAAAAAAAACCCACCCGAGTTCTGTCTGTTGGGAGTCTGTGGCTCCGACAGACAGATGGATTCAGGAAGTGAAAGTGCATCATAGACACATCCACATCAGACACGCGTCTCACGGTGATGAGCTAGAATATGCAACACAATGATCTTCTTCTTTCTAAAGTACAGTTAGCAATACCGCTAACGTCAGAGGTCATCGATTAAACATTTTGCTCCTGGGCTCATTTGACACCGATCCCTACTCCTAAACAGCATTCCCTCATAATATTGTTCCCAAGTTGTTGTCGACAAAAGGACCACTGTTACTCCTCTGATGGGGGGAAAAGAAAAAAACAGCCTCTGACCTCTTAGCTGCTTCATATGATTATCACACGACCATAAACATCCGTCTCATCTCGGCATCAGGCCGGTGTCTGCAGGGAGGCAGGCAGAGGAACGGGCTAAAAAATAAATCTATTCTAGTATTCAAGTTATGCAGCCAAACAGCTTGTGTCGACGGTTTTCAAACAAGTACACGTTCTGGGGGTTTTTTGCCAATAAAACAAAAGCATTGAAAGACAAAAAAAGATTTAATGAAGAGATTTGTAACTCTGGGAGTCTCACATGAGTATTTTGAAACCTTATGAGCTTAACTGCAACCCTAAAGAATTTCAGTTCGACTTAAAATGCAATAAATGTGCATATGGTTCCCCAAGAATTGTAATATTGCGAGCTCCTGAAATGTGATAAATTCTCAAAAAAAAAGGCATGGCAGTTTCCCAGACCTGTGATTGTTACATCAGGAAGGATTAGGCCTCCACTTCTTTGATCCACACCGCTAAGCCAGAAAGCTATACAACCAAAAGCTTGCACTAAGTGGGGAGCGAGGACACAACTCGTTCATCAGAAAGAAAAAATAAAAAAAAGTCAGTGGAGGTTTTCTTAGTAGGGCCGGAGGCTCGCAAGAGAGAGGGCAGATGTCAGCTGCCACATGGACCCAACTCCCAGCAGATGGTCTGCGGAAATCTTGAAAGACCGCAATCTGCCGTCATGTGATGAGATTCAAGACGGGAAGAAACGTACGACACACCTGAGCTTGACTGACACATCTCTGCAAGAAGACTCAGCTCTTACGCATCCTAAGCATTCATTCAACAGTGGTGGAGCTGCACAGTGGAACATTACAACTCCAGCAATAATGGGGGAATTATTATTTAGCTCATCTGCCCACGACCGTCACAGCTGCTATACGCTTAACAGTTACGGACACGGTTCCTTTGTCAAGAGATGGACAACACTGATCATCATCTTTACAAGTCAAACCAGCAATCCTCTGATCAAAGCTGGCTACTCTGTGGAATCTGTCACAAGCTTTGCGGTAGGTCTCCCGCAAACACTTCACATATTCACATTAGCAGTCAGCCTGATATCAGCGCTCAATATAGCAGATTCAAGCGCAGGTGGTAGGTGAAGACACATATGTTTCAGGAGATCCCGAGGTGTTTGTCATCCGCTGAGCTACAAAGCAAATTTGTCTTGCGCAGCCACACCTACCTCCACAGCGTTCTGGTTCCAGCTCGACCAAACCGCCTTAAAAGTCCATGACACTGTCTAAGTGTGCGAGTCAAACTAATCTACTGAGAAAACAAGGCTGAATACATATGGTTAAGCAAATACCCAGCATCCCTCTGGGGGTTTAAAATTAGGCTGTGGGCTACGATGACACATGCAAGTTCAAACAAAAAATCGATGTGAAGAAGCTGCAGCTACCCTTAACGTCTTAAGACTGCTCCTTGTGTGACAACAAATACCACAACAACACACTTACACAGGGTTGCTGATTGTGGTAGCCCTGAATTTTTTGCAGAAGAATGCAAAATGACGCAAGATTGCTGTGGCGAGACGCAGGTGCACGGCTGATGCTCTGTGGCCTGGAAACGTGTTCATCACAGTGCAAAAGAGTTTAAGACCGCGAGGCAAGTAAAAACACAACAATCAGCTGAGGAATACACCGTGCAGATGTCAAAGCAGAAACACCTTGGCAAAAAAAAAAAAACACAGAGGGATACTTACCTGTAAGCAGAAAGGAAAGCCTGAGAAGGACAGACGTTCACGGCGGCACTTACATATCTTAACAGGTTGGATGTTGTAAGGTTTTTGAGTCCAGTGACTTAACTAATTTGTACAGGGAGGCGGGGAGGCGCAGGGAGGGAATGTGTGTGTCTGCATGTTTGAGCAGTCAGGGAGCTGAGTTCAAGATCAAGCACCTGACCGACAACACATGGTGTACACGTGTGTGCATGTGGAGCTCCATGCGTACTATTGTCAGGGCATATCTTGATGATAAAAAGCGAAAATATGTACCAAAATGCTTCATGACAGTGTTATCCAAGACATTAATGTTCACAAAAACACTGAAATGACCTGCTAAACATCCATCCATCCATTATCTATACACCGCTTGATCCTCACTAGGGTCACGGGGGGGCTGGAGCCCATCCCAGCCCACGCAAAAAGATCCCCCACCGGGACGTGAACCGGCGACCTTCTTGCTGCGAGGCAACAGTGCTACCTGCTAAACATCCAAACTAAATCTATTGAAACCTTTTTAAGCTCAGCCACCTCCTAATGTCAGCACTGAACCAGGCTTTATCCTACAAGTTTGAATCGATGAGGCTTTCTGTTTAGGTTACACCCACTCAAGTCCTACGGAAACAAGGTTAGAATAACTATCAGTAACTGAATGTTCACTAAGAAGACAACAGAAGTTGCAGTAAGTGAACTGGTGAAGCTAATTATTGGCGTTTGGCTGTCAGCGTTTGTTTTTTTTTTTTTGGAGCCAGAACAGACGTGTACGAGGTGGATCTGGGTAAGAACCCGAGAACGCAACACGTGCCCACATGGTGGAAACTTGTTAGTCTGAAGGTGAACATGTCCCGTAACACATCCTGCTTCATTGTTTGTTTTACTCTAACTAGGACAACAATTTACTGAACGAACACCCTGCTGTACTGAAGGAAACTCGAAACTAGCAATGGAGACCATAAACCCATTAGGAGAATGTTTTCTGATTTAACTAGTTGGGTCATTTTTGGAGCCGGTGAAGTCACTCCCTGCTGTCCATCTAAGAGAATGTAGGTTTCAGGCATTTCTACACTGGCTTCCCTTTCTAGACCCGAGGCTACGACCACCTCAAGTCTATGACGGTGAAATGAAGGACTACCAGCATTTGCATTTGGACGCTTCTCACAGTTACAACATGGCTAAATTCAAAGCGGACAGGAAAGCTTTTGAAATACTGATCTTACTGTAACCAAATGTCTAAACTTTGCTCTTACGCCAGGTGTTGCTTCACTAGTGTTGGTTCTACTCCAGACACTGAAAAGGGAAAAGCTGTCACAGGAGTGTTTATCACCTGAACTAGTTTCTACTGGTTGTCTTCAAACATTTATTTGGACGGCTGCGGCTCAGGTGGTGGAGCGGGTCGGTCAATGATCGGCTGGTCGGCGGTTCGATTCCACCCTGTAACCTGTGTCATGGTCATTGTGTCCTTACGCATTCACCTACCTTGGTGTGAATGGATTGTTTGAGGTGGTGGTTAAGAGGGGCCGTAGGCACAGAATGGCAGCCACGCCTCTGTCAGTCTGCCCCAGCTGTGGCTAAAATCGTAGCTACCACCACCGGAAGGAATGTGTGTGAATGAATAATCGATTGTGAGTAAGAAAAGCGCTATATAGATCTAATCAATTATTATTTTCAGCACAAAATGACACAAAATCTGCCAAGTCTATGAAGAATATAACAACATTATTCTTAAAAATATCAGAAAATTTTAATTTACGACAGCATTATGGTCCAGTTCACAATTCCGTGTCTGCATAAAGGCTGTCTAATACGCAGCATTAGTGTGGGAATGGTGCTACATGAAGGGCAGGTTGTGGACACTGCGAGCAGTAAAACAAACACACCAGTCAGGTCTGTGTTTACAAAATTCTTATTAGAAGCCAGCAGCTGGCAACAACAGTGACTTTCAGCGAGGGGCCGCACTGGAAGGCATAAAAAATGGGTTGGATTTTCGTTTTTAAAGTAGAGAAAGTTTACCAAACTCAAATTCTTAAAAATGCTTTTGGTTTTTAAGGGAAGTTAAAGTGGATCATTAATTTGGGACTTCTAATTAATGGTCGTTTTAGCTTTAAGACGTGAGGACGCCGCCGCAGAACAAAACATTTAATTTACCTCAACAAAGATGTGGTTAAAGGTGTAATAAAGGAGCAGCAACAGCACGCTGGCAAAGTCTAAGTCTCTACATAACACGCGAAAGTATGCACACGCGTTACTATGAATCAGCATAACACACACATGAAGACTGCAACTCTTGCAAAACGCACACTGCACTTTAGTTTCACAGTCTCTTTACTACTCATTATTTATGGCAACTCTTTCCTCTGTTTCAAAGTAATGTGTTTTACTGTTTCGTTGTAAGTGCACAGCCTTGTAGAACAGTCACGTTGCATGTCACTTCCCACATGTGTGACAAATAAACACTCTTGAATCTCAATATGCATGGTTTTGAAAAAAAAGTTAGCTTTAATATAGCATCAAATAACTATGTAAAGACAAAGTGGAGCAAAGGGATCCGAGTGAAGCCACACTGCCTCTGCGTGTGCTATAATCTGACCGTCTCTATTCGATGTTTTAGCAGCTGGTATGGGTATGTGTGCATATTAATGCATGTGAGTCCCACTCTTTGAAACTGTTGGCTCTTCCTGCACTCACAAACAGACCAACAGTGACCTCCCACACCACACTGGAGAAGCCAAAGTGCAGTCTAATGTGTTCAGCTGTTGCCCTATTCACCTAAACATCCAAACCAATCTATTAAATTTACGTTATCGACATCATTTATGTGTTTCTTTTCAGCTCACTGTGAGAGTCTCTGCTGCTGCTGCTGTTTTGAGGCTTGTGTCTGGATTTTCTGTGTCCAAACACAGGTCCAGTGTGCCACGAAAAAAATGAAACGCATGGAGCAGAACAAACATGAACGGAGAGACGGAGCGACAGGTAAAGGTTAGGTAACGTTACTCGAGTTGACAACAGCTCGCTGCAGCCATTCAAGGAATTTACAATGCTAGCACGGGATAACGGCTGTGGCTGGATGCCCTTCTGTTAGCTCTCCTCTAGATAACCTCTCTGGTTGTAAATGAAACGTGACGGGACTGGAGAGGTGTGGCCGAGATGTACATATGCTTTGTTCCAAAATGCTGGATCTCTAACGACATCCAGCAGTTCTGAAAGGCTGCACCGAGAGCCTTTAATGGAAATGTGGAAGGAGACTCCAACGCTTTAGGGTGGTTCCACTGGTTTCTACAAGCTTTCCATAATCCTCCTCACTATTTTAATTTCAGTAAACATGAAAAGTAAATAATTACTATGACTAGATAGACAAAAAACAAGGGTGTGGAGGCTACATGGTACTGAGTGTCACAAAATGCTAAAGGCTATTTTAGCATTGCAATACAATCCTTTACACAAAAAAGTGACATATTGATAAAACATAAGCTGCAAATAAATTTCACCCACATACAAAATAAAATCACCATCTCATGGCTTGTTAAGCACACGACTGGTTGGGAGGTTATTCCTATTTTAGCCATTTTATTTGAGCATAAATGTGGCTCAGTAAAATGGCCTTGTACTGTGTCCTAAACAACAGAAAATTCAAGGACACTTGGACTGCACGCCATCCAACAAAAACTCCCAAGCCGTCCGTGACATGACCTGTGTTCGCTGTGTTTGCTTTCTTTGTATCCCAGTGTAATCCATAAATAAGCAACAAAATCATCTGCAAACATTTACATATACAAGACTGTATTTTTTCCCCCCGCATACAGTTAAGCCTACTTCAGAAGTTGAGCAAGCAAAGCTGAGACCAAAACACAATTTCAGCAACGGCGTTCAAGCCAGTGTGCGTATACGATGCGAAGAACAAATTTGGTCGCGTAGTAACGCGGAGGACAGATGAACTTATAGGGGCTCATCTGTGTTTGCCGATAGGCTTTCCCCACACCGCAATACCGCTGCGCCTCTTGAGATATACATCTGATGAACTTCAGAGGCTGTTTACTGTACCAAAAAAGCAACACTTGGCTCCTTTAATGTGCACAATGGAAGTCTCTACACAATATCCATAAGCTACACTTTCAAACCGGACACCACAATCGTTAAAAGTGGTACTTGTACATGGAGGTTGTAAATAAGGCTTGCTTAATACTTTAAAGGGGAATTCCAGTTTTCATTTCCTGTTTTACTACTTCTTAGCCTGAGTAAACGGCTAATGTTTTCTATTGCTGAGGGGGAGCTTTGTTAAGTCTGAGAAAGAAGCACAAGTGACATAATTTAGGGTTAGCCCAGCCAGGTTGTAAGACTGTTAATTTATTACACAAAGCCTGTGCTGCATACTGAAGGCATGGAGCTACAACAAACTGGGTATGCACAAGACAAGACAAGTCTCACACATTATTAGAATTGTAGGTTCTAGCACGTCATTAGCTTGAATCATATTAGGCAATAGAAGTAAGGATATCTCAGCATCTTTTTTCCATTCCAATCTCCCCTCCCTCCCACTTCGTCATGAAATAAAACCCTGTGGAGTGACACTCATGACTGTGGAGGGTCTCCTAATTAAGGGGTCTGGTATGAACACGCTGGCAAAGCTTTGGGAAGTCCTCTCCTTCCTCCAACAGAAACAGGAATCCCCCCCCATCTGCATCTGTGGTGATTTAAACTGCTATCTCCATCGACGTATGCCGGAAGATGTCTGCTGTTCTGTTCCAACTGCACTAAAGAATTTCTGACAATAATAATTTACAAAATCAGATCACGACTGTGAAGCACAGAGAACAGATGAGGGGTTTATTTTACTGGATGCTATCTTGTACCTTGTTCTCTTCTCTCGACACATTACAAGACCAACAAGCTATAAATTCTATATGCATCTTGGCCACAACGAAGCGATAATTACCCTTTTCTGCCTCTGACAAGACATATGCGTTTATAGTTATTAGCACGTTTTGCAACAGCACACAAACCACTGCCAGCATCTTTCTAGAGAACATTTTCACTGGGCACATTGATTACTGA